CGCGCGCTGCCACTGGCAGGCGGTCTTGCCGCCCATCCCTGGTGTACGGCGGATGTCTTCGAGGTGAGCCTGCTCAAAGACCACGTCGACACCTGGCTGAGGAGTCGGTGCGGGCGGATCCGGCAGAATCTCCCACGGGCCATCGCACGGGGCCGGGGGTGGCGGGGGCGATGCCTTGCCGCGTGCTGGCATTGTGACAAGGCAGGCTGAGGAGCACCGCCGCGGCTGGACGGCCAGGTGAAACTCGAGCAAACATGGTTAAGGATGATGATGATGGTGTTGATAGGAAACCCGGTATCAGCGAGTTGATGTACAATGAGGTGTCCGCAAACGAGACACTGCTGTCAACGCTGTTATAACTAACCACAAACGAGACACTGCTATCAACGCTTGCACAATTAAAAAGAAACGCTGGCATTGACACTACTAGCAATACCAAAGTGGAGTTTAAACGAGGCACTGCCATCAACCGATTCAACTTCCAATAAAAGAAGATCACAAATGAGTTCACTCTGAAGTGACCCATGGTATCAATGCGAGAAGTCTCTGCAAACTATTCACTCATGGCGACCGCCGCGCACACGCGTGTAGGAAATCGTTGATGATGATAGTGATAATGGAGTGGGGGCCAGTAATGCAGATACACTGCTGTGCATTCACTTGCTGCGAAAAGAAACTCTGTATGAATGAGTTGATATATAATGAGTTGTCCACAAACGAGACACTGCTATCAACGCTTGTATAAGTAAAAAGAAACGCTGCTATCGACACTTCCCCCAATACTAAAGTTGTCTTTAAACGAGTCACTGCCATGAACGGCTTCAACTACAGTGTAACGAAAGGAACTGCAGGCTGAGAAGCACCGCAGGCCAACGTGAACCAGTCGTGGTGATGAGGATGAGTGAAATCTGCGATGATGATAGCGATCATGAAGTCGGTTGTAGGAACCCACTTTTGTAGTAACCAACATACACTGGTATGCATTCACTTATGGTGAAAGGAAACTCGGTATCAGTGAGTTGATATAGAATGAGTTGTCCGCAAACGAGACACTGCTATCAACGCTTTTAGAACGAAGCGAACCCATCAGAACACTGTTATCAACGGAAAGAATGCTGTAGAAGGACAAAGCGCTGAATGTACACCGATGTGTTCGACGACTGCGTATGTAATGATGTGACGATATACAGACTGAGCCCTTCGTGAATGTCTACATGTTTTTCTGACGCCTACAAACGGCGCTGACGTGTGTGTGAAAAGTGTCCGCGCAGCAAAAGCCGGCGAAGCGTGCAGACAGCCAGCTGCAAAAGGTTGCGAGCGGCTCTTGGAAGACGTTTACGGAACGGAGCTACGGTGTCTGAAAACAATTGGCATCGAAGCGAAGAGCCTCGGAGCCCTGCAGCCTGAGAAACACCGCAGGAACTCGCATACTGAAAAGGAATGCATTGCAAACCGCACGTTGCGAACCCTGCAGGCTGAGAAGCACCGCAGGATGTCGCATGCTGAAAAGCACTTGTACTGCAGAGCGCAGGCTGCGAAACCTGCAGGCTGAGAAGCACCGCAGGAACTCGCATGCTTTCGAACACTACTGCTCGAGACCGCAGCTGGAGAGCGGCAGACCGCAGGCTGAGAAGCACCGCGGGCAGAGAGACTTGCAAAACTCAGATGTCCTGATCGTCTTGGAGGAAGTCACGCCAGTCCGGCGGCTGCCAAGAATCGATGATGCGCCTGGAGCCACCGCCCGTGCTGCCGCCGATGTCCAGGTAGTCGCCATCGCCCCTGAACAGACGGCCGTGCCCGCACGCCAGAATCGCTTGGTTGCGGATTTGAAGCAGCGCTCCGCTCTCAAACATCTGCAACACGTCCAGCTGCCTGCGCGTGAAGTTCGGCTTTGCCTGGCCAGCCTGGGCAGACAGATGGAGGGAAAGCCGCTCCCCCTCGTTGTAGCGCGCGATGGCCTCGGCCTTCTGGTGGTGCAGCCGGCGCCGCTGTTGCCGCAGAGCTTCCTCGGGAACTGCTGCATCACGGCCCTCACTGTGATCAGCTTGCAACGCTTGCGTTAACCAATCAACGTCGAAGCGCCCTGAGAAGGCCAGCACCTCCCAGATCTGTTTGGTACCGGCCACACGTTGCAAATGGCGATGCCACCGCTTACGCTTCTGGTCTTTCACAAACTTGGCGACGCTACCCAGACCTGCACCCTTGGCCTGGCCACCTTTTCCCGCAGGCTGAGAAGCACCGTGAGAACCTTTCTTACCGCCTGGCCCTTTGTTCGGACCCTGCGGAACCGCATGGCCCCCTTGTGGCGCAGACTTGCCTTTCGCTTTTCCCTTTTCGACATCCCGTTCCTGAAGCGCACGCTGCTGCCGCGACTGCTCGTACTGGTCGCGAGCTACTCTGACCAATTCCTGGCGCTCAGGCTCCGTGAGAACGTAGCGCATGTCGTCGATGTTCTTGCTCCGCAGAAAGTCATGTCGAAGCTTAAGGACAGAGAGAATGGCTCGGCCAGTCTCCTCCTGAGACGCAAAGGCCGTGTCATATTCCGAGCCAGGCTGAGGAGCGCCAGCTGGATCAGTGTCCGCTGGCTCCGTGGACTTCCTCTTTTTGAAAAGCAAGAGACTGAGATGATGGAGGACTTTCGGATCGTACTCCTCGTCGTACCTGTCGTCCCAAAGCTGCCTCAGCTCCCTGTGCAAGTCGTCCGCGCGATTCTGAACGACATCCTCGACGTAGTCGGGATCACCCGGTGAAGTCGGTGAAAGCGGAGGAGCAGAACTCGGCGACCGATCCCAATGCACAGAAGACTCGCGGTCCGCCTGTACGCTGACGTCGGCGTCGGAGACGTTTTCGACGACAATTTTCCGCCTCTTGCTCTCCCCAGGCTGAATAGCACCAGGGAGAGTGAGCACAACCGCCACCGCATCGTGTGCGTCGTTGCGCATGCCACGATCCGTAAAAGACGCGCCAACGGCAATGGAGCAGAAACGGGCGACTGCTCCGCAGACCGCGACGTGGTCGCCTTTGAGGTCGGCCGGAGTGGCATGGACCTCCCATACCTTCTCGTCGTTCTGCTCGCGCTGGTAAGCCTCCCGCGCCTCCTGGAAAGTGAGGTTGTCGTCGCCGACTACAAGCACAACGACTGCCTCGTTTAGATTCTCAAGAATCTTGGCCAGGCCGTCCAGGTGCAAGCGGAGATGGCGAACTGTCCGCTTTCGAGTCTGGATGCTCGGCGGTTTCTTGCCGCACACGATGTGCATGTTGGCGATCACCACGTGGAACTTGTCATGGCCTGGTTTGTTCACCTCAAAATGTGAAATAACAGCATCAATATCTCGGCCGCTAGGAGGCCTGTAAACTTTGCTGTCTTCGCACAGAGTCAGTTCCGCAGGCTGAGAAGCACCGCGGAACCCCCAGAGAGTCAAGTAGTTGTCGACCTCCAAGAAGCGAATGCCATCACCGAAAGGCTTACTGAGGATCTCTGTCACGTTGATCCCTGCTCGGCGAAAGCCTTCACGGAACGCACCGACCTCGCAGCCACAGACCATATCAGCATCAGCGGTCTCCACTATCTTGGCGCACAACCTTCCGAAGTTAGCGCAGTGAGTGGCCGCCTGCTTACCAGTCATCATGCCCTGCTCGAACCCGAAATTGAACGAGGCGACCGTGAAAGACGCAGGCTGCACAGCGCCAGAACCAGGCGTCTGTCCACCTTCCTCCGCAGGCTGAGAAGCACCGCGAGGCGGCGCAGGCTGAGAAGCACCGCGAGGCGGCGACACTTCGGACGAGCCTCGCGGAGCAGAGGCTGCGGATGAACGTTGGACATGGGGGTACGGCCAGGGGAACGCCATTGCAATCAAAACTCAGTGGACTGCAGTGAATGAATGTAGTGGCCAATTGAATGCAGAGGACTGCAGTGTCACTAGCAAGTCCTGAACCAAACACAGCTGTGGCGGAAGGAATATGAAGCGTCTGGCTATTCAAAATGTTGCCCGGCAATGGAGTTCTGGGAACTCGAAGACCAGGAAGTGGACTAGAGTTGGCTCTGGGCATCCAAAATGTAGCCCAGGAATGGAGTTCTGGGAACTCGAAGAGCACGAAGTGGCCTACAGTTGGCTCCGGGCATCCAAAATGTGGCCCGGGAATGGAGTTCTGGGAAATGGAAGAACACGAAGTGGCCTACAGTTGGCTCCGGGCATCCAGAATGTGGCCCGGGAATGGCGTTCTGGGATGTCGAAGAGCACGAAGTGGCCTACAGTTGCATCCGGCCCCCCAGAATGTGGCCCGGGAATGGCGTTCTGGGATGTCGAAGAGCACGAAGTGGCCTACAGTTGCATCCGGCCCCCCAGAATGTGGCCTGGGAATGGAGTTCTGGGAAGGCGAAGAGCACGAAGTGTGTGACTGTTGGTGAAAAACGAGCCCGGCTCATGCCGCCCGGAAACGCCCCAACACCTGCCCGGACCCCCCTGTGGAGTGATCTGCTGCTCTCTTTTGATCCCACTAGAAACCTATCAGTCTTCGCTGTTAGGTAAAAAGGTAGGGCGGCGGTGTCAGCCCCCTCAGGGACGTTGAATTCGATAAGTGCGATACTCGGCAGGCGCATCATCCAAACCACCAAGAGCAGGCTGCCGAGTGCCATACATGCATAACGAACCGTGGGGCAAGACGTCCTGGGCATCACACTCGTGAAGTATCCAGTGTGAGGCAGTCGTGGGGTACCATGTGCGCCTTTGCAATGACAATGGTTATCACGGAGGAAGAAAATGAGCATCTACTGTTGGACGTCCGCGCGGATTTCTCGGATCTGCGCTAAGCCGCGCGCCAGGGGCGGCGCTGGAGGCGCCGCCAGGGGGCCCCAGCGCCGATCGGAGAAATCCACACGGAACTCCAACAGTGTATGTGTATGCCCTGTCTTGTGCTTCGATGACAGAAAGGCTGACCCCCCTGGACCGATTCCTCCGATGGCAGCCTCGTCGTGTGCACTGGCCCCCCTGCCGCTCCGCCTTCGCACGCTGGCTCAGCACGGTCTGCGCGTCCTTCTTCTCGCCGCCGACCTCCGCGACGGCCTCGCCGCCTGACGCGTGGCCGTCGGCTGGCACGAGAGGCGTCGCCCCGAGAAGCCAGGGCAGCCGAGGGACTCAATGCGACCACTGACACAGCGTGTAACAAACAAACGTGATGTTTCTGCCGCATCTTTGGCGCCGATATCCGGGCCCACACAACTGGCCAGAACGAGAGTGGCTTCAGGAATGCGAGCGGGAAGTCGCTAATTATGTCCCTGCTTCCTCAGCAGTGAGCTGAGGCGAACACCCGAGCAGTGGCATCGCAGCCTACAAGCCCTGATGAGTCTGATACCCACAAACTCCAACGAGTAGCGCGACCGAGGGGATCAAGTCAACTGGGGACGATCGCACTTTAACCCGTCGAATAACACTCGTGCTGCGTACATGTTGAATGATGTACGCAACCATTCGTGCTCAGTCGATGCGCACTCGCCTCGGTGGGCTGCCTCGCAAGCTTGTGCGGCACGTCTGCTCAGCCGCCACGGTCCACCGCCTCCGGAAGCATCGGAAACTGTCCGCTGGACGTGGCCCCTCAGGGCCTTCGGCCACAGCTCAGCCTACGAGAAATGGTCATTGGCATTGCGTCTACCCTTTCGTGCCACGTTCTGTCACTGCAGCCCGATTCCACGCCCCCCTCGAGACCGGCACCGAGGTCCATCCCATACGTATACCTGACCATGGTTTGTGGCCGAACGCGGGACTCAGAGCGCCTTTGAGAAAGGACGCCAGACGGAAGACGCACCGGCCAGCGTGTCCTGCCAGACCAGGCGGCGGCGAGAACGGCGGCAAGAAAGAAAGGGAAAGGCAGCTGTCGGGCCGGGCGAAAGGGGGGGATAGCACAGGGGGGGGTTTGAGAATCAGCTCACGTAGCTGATTTTCCCGGCGCCTCCCGGCGCCAGAGGCGGCTATGTATCAGGGAATGGGCCCCACGGTGGGGCCGAAACCAGCTGCATGCAGCACATTTCGTACCCCCCCCTTTCCCAATCCCCCCCTTTCGCCCGGCCCGAGAAAGAGCGGGAAAGGCAGCTGGCCGCCCTTCGGCTCGTCCGGAGACTCCGTGGTGTTCGTGTTGCCGTAGCCGGCGAGCAGAGCGAGGCCCACGTCGGCCTCGGCGCAGGCGAGCAGAGAAGCGCGCGCTCTGCTCGGGCGGCGGGGCCCCTGCTCGCGCGCGGTGGCAACAGGCGGTCGGGAGGCCAGGGCACGGGAAGAAAGCGACGGTGCGCCATAAACATGCACTTCTGTCAGGGGGACGCAAGACCTGGGTACAGGGGACTCGGAAATCCCCGACGAGGTCGTCAACAAAAATGACGAGGCCGAACCTGCATTTTGACGAGGCCTCCCGCTGCAGACATCCCACGAAACTCCTCCTCGTCAAAATCCGAGGCGCGGTCGTCAAAAAACGATGGCGAACCCGAGTCCTGGCAAACCCGGGTCTTACGCTCCCCCGAATCTGGAGGTCCACGAGCAGCACCGAAAATGTATGTTTACGCATGCAGTTGGTTCGCCTTCGACGGAGACCGGCAGGGGGCGAACGAACGAGCACGCGCAGAACCTGCGCGCTCCGCCGGGGAGTCCGCCGGAGCCCGTCAGGGCACGGCGTGGAGGCCGCAACCTCGAGAACTGTTGGCTCTGTGCCCGCCTGTCGATAGAGACCGGCAGGGGGGGGTGCGGGGAAGCGGGTCGGAGAGGGCAGCAGAGGGCGCTGCCCCCCGTACTCAGGGGAACAGCCGTGCACCATACTTTTCTACGGGAGGTGAAGATGGTCGGGGCCGCAGTACAGTGCGAGCACATGGTACGATAAGAGATCTTGCCAGAAGAGGTCTAGGGGCACTTTCGTCGTCCATCTTTGCCGCCCCCTTGGTGTCCGGGTTGTTCTGTGGGTTCCTGGGGCATCCCGAGGATCCGAAACTGCCGCGGCGCACCTGCTGGCAGGATGCCTTCTTACTTGGCGCGCCTGCGGCACAGGGAATGGGTGAGTGATCAACGTCTGCACGGCCATCTCCAAAAGCTCGCAGGACGCTGGCGCTTCGGTCGGGAAATTTTGCTGAACGTGTCGCCGCGGCGGCCCTGGCGACATGCCATACTCTGCAAGCGGATAGCGTGTCGCTCCGCTCCGCCGGACGGGAGGCTCGGGAAGGCTCGGGGCGTTGACGCTGGCGGACGGGGAGGCGGACAGCGTGCCGCTGAGGAAGCGTGGTGGGCCGGAGTCTGTGGAGCGACGCTTTCAGCCGGCAGCGGCAGCGATCGCAGGCGCGGTGGTCGGCCCCAGCGGGGCGCGCCGGGCGCAGAGCGCGAAGGGCGAGAGGAAAAGACGGGCTCGGAGGAGGGAGGAGAGAGAGGTCCGTCGGCCGAGAGTCGGCGGGGGGGCGGCCCGCGGGCAGTCTCAGGCGCCGTGGCGGAGATAAGGAGGTATGGAGGAGGAGGAGGAGGAGGAGGAGGAGGAGGAGGAGGAGGAGGAGCAGGAGGAGGAGGAGGAGAAGGAGGAGGAGGAGGAGGAGGAGGAGAGCGAGGACCGGCGGGGCGACCCGCTATCCAAGCGATTCCCGACCGAAGACTCTTCGGGCGGGTCGGCCCCGATGTACTTCCGCCGGGCGCTGCCGTGCTCCCGTCGGCGCCTGGCCAGCAGGAGTGCCCTCGCCTGCGCGGGCACGTCGCGGGCTCCCCCGCAGAGGGCGAGGGACCCCCCCCCCCCCCGGTTCCTCGACGGCGACACCCTCTCCTCGGGGATCCCCAAGCGGTGCGGTGACCACACGGCGTGGCGAGTCAGTGGGGATTCGGGATCACCGCACGGCTTCGGGAGTCGGGTCCTTCTCCGAGGACGGTCTCGGACGAGTGGGTCCTCTGGGGTCCCAAAGTGCGGTGACGGACCGCACGGTGAGGTCTCGTGGGGTTCCGAGGCCACCACGCGGCCCGTCACCACCCGGGTTGGGGGCCCCCGATCTCGAGAACGGACAGCTTGGATCTCTGTTGGGGATGATCGAGCTGGCCAGGAGCTCTGTTCGAAAGCCCAGAAGCCCTGCAGGGGGGGGGGCAGGGCTGCGAGGGGATCGGGGCTTCTCGCGGTCGCCAGTCGGCAGAGCTACCCAAAGCCCGCCGCTCGTTGCAGTAAGGGCCGCCGATGCGCGCGAAGCCCCCCCCTGCGTCTACCACCTCCGTTCGTTTGAAGGCAAGATCAACTGGCATCGAATCGGGACATCGGATCGGATCGGATCGGAACGCACGTCGGATCGGGCCGCCTCGGCACGGGGTCGGAATCGAACCAGATCGGCTGCGCCGGGATGCACAACAACGCCTTGCAAACATCGGCCCGAATCGGACGGTCAGAATGCCAGAATCGAATCAGGTCGAGCTGGCCGGAGTCGACACCGAATCGGGACGACCAGATCGAAGTGCACCCTGGGAGGTGGATTCCAGGACTCTGGGACTCTGAGACCCTAGGCTGGCCTCGCGCGCGCGCCCCGAAAGGGCGAAAAGTCGAGGCAGAGAATAGCAGCAGCCACCGACACGATGGCAGCGACGCACGGCGAGCGAGCGCAACGACGACGGACGCTGACGTTGGCCGTCTGGAGGTGGGGCAAAGGACGGGACAGGACAGGCAAAACAACTCGCCGTGAACTCCATCCGATATTTAGCGGCCACGCGCTGTGCGCGAGCGCAGCTTAGCAAAACAAAGTCACGAACGTGGGAAGGACGTACAACAAAGTAGGGGACGAGGAGGAGGAGGAGGCAGGGAATGAGGAGGGACAGGAGGATGAGGAGGAAGGGGGAGGAGATGAGGAGGAAAGGGAAAAGGATGAGACGGAGAAAGCGCACTGGCTGCGAAGGGAGGCAAATCGAGGTCAGAATACTGCAGGGACAGGCGAAGCAGCTCATCGGAGAGGAGCCTCTGCACGCAGGAGAAGGAGGAGGAGGATGGGGAGGATGAGGGACGAGAGGGCGGCGGGGAACGGGACGAAGGAAGATGAGGGAGGAAGGCGGGGAGAGAGGAGGAAGCCAACTCGGATCCTCAGCACCGACGGCGCGGGGCGGCGTTGCCCGACGCCAGCGAGGGCCAGCGTGGGTGGGAGACGGCGTCTCAGGGGAAAAACGCTCGGCGACAAACGCAAGAAAGAAGGAAGCAAGGGGAGGGGGAAGAGCATAAGCAATGAGAGAGAGGGGGAACAAAAGAGAGAGAGAGAGAGAGAGAGAAACAAAAAAAAAGAGGCAAAGACAGAGCAGGATTTAGTCGACACCCAGGGGGGTAGGGAGCACAACTCCCCACGCTGTGGAGCGCCTGTATTCACAACTATAAATAAGAAGAGACAGAAAGAGAGAGAGAGAGAGAGAGAGAAAAAAAAAAAAAGGGAGAGAGAGAGAGAGAGAGAATGGGATAATGAGAGAGAGAGAGGGAGAGACAGACAGACAGACAGGCAGACAGACAGAAGGGCGGACGGAGACAGAGGCAGAAGCACAGACCGAGACATGCCAAAGCCACAGACAGAGACCATGCGAGGAGGCCAGGCCCCACGGATGGCGCCTGCTTGAGCGCGCCCACGTCGTTACCCCCATCGCCGCACATGAGCGCGAACTTGCCCTGCTTCTGGAGCTGGCTAATAACGGCGGCCTTGGAGCTGGGAGGCGCCATCTCTCCGTGCCCCCGGCAGGCAGGCGGGGGAGCGCGGGGTTCGGTCCTGCCGTCCTCGGAAGCACGCGCATGGGCGTGTCAGCCGGGAGATTTTGCCTGTCGCCCAGTGGATGACGGCGTGCCTCTCCATTGGGACCGCGCTGCGCTCGACTTCGGCAGCTGGTTACTACGGAGCGCCCACCTTCCGCTCCAGCACACCAACCTTCGGTTCCTGAGGCCGCCCGCGCACTCCTCGTGGTGTAGACTCTCTGCGCCTGAGGCCTCCACCCGCGTTCCCCCTCCGCGGCCGCCCTCTTCCTTTCCCATCGGTGTGCCGTAGCCCAGCGCGGCCCGCCGGCTTTCGAACGCGTTGGCGCTCGCAGTCGCCGCTGACCAGACCATGACAGCCAGGGGGGGGGAGCGCCAGACTCGACAAAGCCCGACTGGAGGAGCAGAAAAACTACGGATACCGCTGCTCCCCGGACCTCTCCCGGGGTGCTCTGACCAGAATCTCGAGGGCCCAGCCGTGGCGACGAGGGGTCCGCAGGACGAGCAGCTGAAGAGGTATACCTCCTCATTCCTCTGAGCGGTGGCCCAAGAGGAAGGAGAGGGTGCAGGATGAGATTGCTCCTGCTCCTTCAGCAGTTGCCCAGAGTTTTTTACGATTGGGGGGGCAAGAGGAGAGGAAGACCAGAAGGCCCACAGCAGAAGCGGGAGCGGGGCAAGGGGGCGCAGGCGACTCGGGGCGAGGACGCCGCGCGCCTCAGATCGCCCGGGGGGCGGGCGGCCCACAAAAAGTGACGAAGAGAGCCAGCCCAGAGATCGACGAACAACAACTGGCATAAGGCAGCACGCAGCAGTTGCAGGTATATGAGGGGGCGGGCGCGGGGTTGGTCGCGGGTGGGTCGCGGGGTGTGTCGGGGGTGGGTCGCGGGTGGGCCGCGGGGTGGGTCGTGGATGGGTCGTGGGCGAGGACGACGGCAACAACAAGCAACAACAACAGTATGTTAAAAACTGTTCGCTCTTACCTGCTCGCGTGCCACTCAACACGTATAGGCCAGGTTCAGGATCTCAAGAGCACGGGACAAGGATCTCAGGGCGAGAGGAGTAACACGCAATACAGGACGGTGCGTGACAGAGCTTGATTACAATACCAGAGCAGAAAAATACATACCATAGCTGTAGCTTACATCGGGGAAGGGCGAACCCGTCCCTCGCTGCGAATGCGTACTGCGCTTCGTGGCCCCACAGCCAACTCCAAACGAGGAGGCCACGACGCGCCAAATGCGTGTCGAAAATCGCTGTCCAAAGCTGTCCGGCGGACGTGGCCGAAACTCGGGCCAACGATTCGGGCAAGGAGGAGGAGGAGGAGGAGAGGAGGAGGAGAGAAGGAGAGAAGGTGGGGGGACGCCGGCGTGTCGCGTGCGAGCTGCTGCGAGCCCTACGCGAAGTCCCCATGCACTGAAGCTTCCGACCATACTGAAAACCTGCACCAGCGCGCCGTTACGACAGAAGCTTCCTATTCTGGCCCGCAACCGGGGTTGCATATATTCTAAACCCTCGATGCCCGCTCTCTTCGTCTTCGATCGTGCCTCCTAGGAGGTAGATCTTCCCTACCTGATACGCGAAGACCCTAAAACCGGGGAAGAGTGGGCGGACGCAAGGGACGATGTGAGGGGCGTGCCGACATGGGTGCGGTGGTGTCATGCGAACGCAGCCACTGGGGCCTTCGGTGGAAATCCTGGTGTCGTGCAAACGCAGCCACTGGGGCTTTCGGTGGAGCTCCATACGGGGCAACGAAACGTGTGAGCAGTGTGCCGAAATGGGTGTGGTGGTGCCATGCGATCGCAGCCACTGGGGCCTTCGGTGGAACCCCCCCATGGGGCCACAAAACGTGCGAGGGGTGTGCCGAAATGGGCGCGGTGGTGTCATGCGAGCGCAGCCACTGGGGCCTGCGATGGAGCTCCCTTTGGAGCCGCGAAGCGTGTGAGGGTTGTGCCGAAATTGGCACGGCCACTGGGGCCTTCGGTGGAGCTCCTTGTGGGGCCACGAAACGTGTGAGGGGTGAACCGACGTGGGCGCGGTGGCGGCATGCGAGCGCAGCCACTGGGGCCTTCGGAGGAACCCCCCATGGCGCCACGAAACGTGTGAGGGGTGTGCCGGAATGGGCGCGGTGGTGTCATGCGAACGCAGCCACTGAGGCCTTCGGTGGAGCTCTCTTTGGGGCCACGAGATGGGTGCGGTGGTGTGATGCGAGCGCAGCCACTGGGGCCTTCGGTGAACTTCCCTATGGGTCCACAGAGCGTGTGAGGGGTGTGCCGAAACAGAAACATGCGGAGGGCAGAGGCAAAGAGAGGGAGGAGGGAGGAGGGGGAGGAGGGCGGGAGGTGACGCGGGGCGCAGTCTCTTCAAAACGAGGACCCACCAACACAGGATGGTTGGGAATGAAAGGAAATCCCCCTCTTGGGCGAAATGATGGAGAGAACTGAAAACAGAAATGATGGAATGAACTGAATCGGCTATACGCAAGAGTGACCCTGGGTAAGAGTGACCTTTGGTGCGCGGCTTTGGGGGCCGCGGGGGGGCCAAACTCAGGCTCGCAAGACGCTACTATCGCATCGCAATCGGTGATCGGGGGACCCCATTGTGCCCGCACCAAAGGTCACTCCGGCGAAAGGTCACTCTTACGTGTAGCCGACTGAAGAGACATGAAAAGAACATGATGATGGAGAGCACTGGGAAAACGGAGGGATGAGGGAGACGAAAAGAAGATGGACATGGAAAATGGAGGAAGAAGGAATCGGAACAGAGGGCCCACAAGATGGCCCCTTAAAGGCGTCTTGAGGGTAGCACGAGTTATATTGAAACTCTGCCTGGGTGGGTTATTGGGGATAGCTTGGCCATGTTGAAGTCCCTTGAGGGCACCTTGAAGGCATTTTGGAGCGTCTTGCTGTTCGTCTTGGAAGCCTCCTGGGGGCTCTCGCGGCGCTCTTAGGAGCCTCTCGAGAGCCTCTTGGGGTCTCTTGGATCCATATTGCGTCTCGGGGGGGGTTAGGAACCTCTTTGGGCAAGGTTTGGGTTTTCCAGGGGTCTCGGAAGTTTTGGTCCCTCTGGAGGCCCACGATCGAGAAAACGCTTGCAGCCTACAACGTCGAACAGCCAACGGCTCTGAATCTGTTTGTGTTCTCCTTGAGAGCTGATTGCAGCTTTGCTGGAAGCGTCATGGAGTTATCTGGGAACATGCAGCAGCTTGGGAGCATGCTGGAGTGACCTCCGACACGAGCGGCCCTTGGAGATAGCGACGGAGCCTCTTGGGGCGTCTTGAAGTCTACCTCCAAGCTCGCAGGGCCTTGGTACTCCAATCGATTGGCCTCCCTCCCGCCCATTGGGGCCATCTGGGTCGCCAACGACGCGCCCGAGCTCTGCAGTGAGAGCGGGCGTGGTTGCGGGCGGGTCTGGGAGGGCAGGTTCCTCGATCTCTCCAGGGGAGATACGAGGAAACACGCCTTCAAGAACGGGCCATGGACTGCTGGCCACAAGCGTCTAGCGACATCCTGCGACTGCTTACAACAAACATCGACACTGACTGTCAGCACCACTCTGGAGAAAGCTCGCGTCAACTCCGCCAAGGACAACCCAAACAACGGCAGCTTGTGGCTGTGTCCGGCAAAGCTGTTGCGAACAATGTAAACGACGACTCCTCACGACGTCCCCCTGTGCTGAACCACGACTGGGAACTGTTCCGACCCGAGCCCACCCAGCCGCCACGAAGGCTCCCCCCAAGCACCAGCCACGACCGCCAATGTCTCCAGGAAAGGACCTCCTTTCGAACCGCGAGCGCAGCACGCCTTACCCTGCGGCGTCATGCGCGCGAACACCTTGACCTCGTTGACGCTGACCCAGAACTCGGCGCTAGCCTCCGTGGCCGCGTCCAACGCGTCTGGGCGCGAATGTGTTTTCTCTGGCCGGCGCACGACGACGTCGCCTGCCTGCTGGGGCAAAACGCCTGCACGCGCGCCTGTTTTCCGGCCAGCATGAGGCACAACGGGCCGCATGGCGGCTTCCTCCAACCCTGCACCCAAACATGTTGACACATCGTGGGGGGCTACTCCTCCCTCGGGGATCTACTGACCCAGGTCAATCCAGACCCGGGTCAGTCGGGCCCTGCAGGATCCTGCAAGGTCCTGCAGGATCCTGCACCCAGGCCCGGGCCAATGCGCCCCTGGCCCTGCAGGACCCTGCAAGATCCGGCGCTCCGACGGACCCCCGCTTGCATTGACCCCCGTCTCGTGGGCACCGACTCTCCTTCCGCTGGCCTCCGCTGGCCCTCTGCAGGGCTTCCGTCGGCGGAGCCGCCCCCGGTCCTGCTTCTGCGGCAGCTGCCCCTGTGCCCCCACCGCGGGCCTCCGCCGAGGGCGAGGCATGGCGCCGAAGGCGAGGCCCCTCCCCGCGGAACACCCCGCCTCCGGGTGTTGCGGTAGATATGCCCCTGGCCCAAGGTGCCACCAACTCTTCGCTCCATGAGGGCCTGGAGATCCTGGAGGCACCTTGGGCCAGGAGCACTTCTGGCAACACCCGACACATGTCGGGAGCGGCCAAGAGGGGGGCGTCCAAGAGGGGGGGCGTCCAAGAGGGGGGCGTCCAAGAGGGGGCGTCATGTGCGCGGCCCAGGGGGGGCCAGGGACGCAATGAAATAAGAAGAGGCGCCATGAAATCTGAGGAAATATCATGGCCCACGTCATGATATCCCCCCCCCCCACAGTCATCACCCCCTCTTTGCCGCCCCCGAACATGGGCCACTCCCTCTATGCGTGCGGCGCAGCAGCAGAGGCAGACCGGAACGGTGGAAGAGAGGGAAGGCCCGCGACAGGCACAGCTTCGGGAGTGGTCGGGGAGCGAGGCCCTAAGACAAGCAGGCTCCAATCGGGGGAGGAGGATGAGGATGAGGAGGAGGAGGAGGAGGAGGAGGAGGAGGAGGAGGAGGAGGAGGGAGGCAGGAGAACGAGGGAGGCGAGGAGAGGGGAAGGGAGGATGTGGAATGGGGGGGGGGCGGAGCAGGAGGGGGGACCAGGAGGGGGGAGGGAGAAGGAGCAGACGGGAGGGGACGGAGCAGGAGGAGAGACGAAGGATGGGCGAGGCGCGAGGAAGAGACGGGCGGGGCTCGAAGGGGCAGCAAGTCTCTTGCGGATGCCGACGGCTCCTCCGGTGACTATCAGGGTGAACTCCTTGGCCAGCCTGTGGATGTCCTGCGGCGCCGAACAGCGGAGCGCAAGAACGCGAGCGAGAGACGGATGAGGCGGGGCGGCGGCAGGACGTGGAAGGAGCATGTCTTGTCTCTGGCGGTCCCTGGCCCTGGTGCCGCTCGTGTCACTGGTCTCGGCCCTGCCCCTGACCGGACCGCCTCCCTGGCCCCCAGTGCCCCCCCCCCCCCTTCGCTGCTGCACCGACCTGTGCCGTGCTCGGCTCGGCACCGTATTCTCGACTGCCCCCGACTGCTCTGCAGGGGGTCAGCGATAGGGATGGGGGGCCCGGCTCAGACGGGGACACATCGAGCTTGAATCGGCGATACGGAGAGGGCATTGGGCAATGGAACCTTGGATAAGAAATCCAGGGCCTGGAAGCCAGAAGAACTCCAATCGTGGATTGGCCATGGGCCATGGGTATCACCGCTGCCCTCATCAGATAAGGAATCCTGCAGGGTCTGAAGCCTCCTGGGCACACTCCTTAACCAACGTCCCCACCATAGGGTCTCCGATAGCGAATCCGAATGTTGCTTGGCAGGGTGGGCCATCAGGTCCCCTCGGCGATGAGCTGCGATCGAGTGTCGATGCGCTCCCTCCACCGCCCCCCCCGACACCAGCCCCTGAAATGTTGCCCATGGATGTCAAACTCCAGTGCCGCTCAGGCGCCACCACCAAGTTTTCTTCGGCTCGGACATGGCCCCGACTGCCCCACTGGTGGTGATATGGTCGCGGTGCTGCTTCCAGCTTGGCCTCATGCCAGCTGCAAGGTTCGTGCAGCTCTTGTGCTAACATTGCGGCGGCATCGACCTCTGACTTGGCCAAGGAACAAACGCTAGAGGCTTGGAGATGGGCACCAACACCAACACAGGGGGTCGCCTCCACCAGGGCAAGATGATACTAGATTTCGGTGTTGGCGGTAATATTTCGGCCATGTAAGAAGCCCGACTATTACCACCATCACCGAGATCGGGATCACCTTTCCTCGGTGGAGGCACACCACCGATATTGGTGTTGGTGTCAACCTCTAGGCCTCCGAAAGAGAGAGTGGGGAGGAGCCCCACCTCCGGTGCTGCCCTTCACCGCCGCCAGTCTCCTCGGATCTGGCGCTGATCTTCACCGTCCCGCGGCCGACCAAAGCCTGGGTGTTGCCATTCGTTGCCGCCCGATTCCTTCCCCTTGCTCTCGCACACTCCGCACCAGGGTTGGTGACAACCACGGATGTATCGTTGGCCGAGGTGACAGTGTGCGCCTAAGCTGCTTTCAGGAGCTCGAAATCTGCCTGGGTGCGCTGCTGCTGGGAGGGGCTCGCATGGGGTTACTGGGTGGCTCCGACCTGTGGGTGCAAGTGAACACACATGGCAAAAGCCTCTACTACCCACGTCCTTGTCTTTGCATCTTCCCAACTGCCCCAAGGCCTGGTGCTGCAATCCGTTGCAGCCCATTTCCTTAGCTCGGTCGTATCACGGCATCGTGTTGCCCATCGTCGCAGACGTGCTCATATCCTGTGCCACTCTCTGGGGTCCTTGTGGTGGCCTTACACGTCTCATCGCCTGGAACATCTCAACCCAGCATGCTGGCGCTTCGACTGCAAAAACCAAATTCAGGCTAATCGTATGCGTCCCTGCGGCGGAGCGTAAAGCCCGCGCATCCTCCCCGCGGCTCCCGAGTGGATCGTTGTGGGCCCAACGTCGTGGTACTCCTGCCTCCTCCTTCTCCCTCGGAGGAGTCACGAGGGAATGATCTGCCTGGCCGCCACAGCCCACGTGCCACACCCAAAAGTAGCGGAGGAGGAGGAGGAGGAGGAGGAGGAGGAGGCCGTAGCCATTTTGGCCCAAGTTCGAACACTCGCGCCCTGGTGCTCGAAGTTGGTCGCAATCGAAAAGTGAGGCTCGAGGGCGGGCCTCGCGGTCGACAGGCGACCAGAGTGTACATGAGCTGGCGGCGGTCCCCCAGCCATGGCCGACGAGGAGGAGCTCCCGACGGTTGGAAGTGCGAGAAGTGTGGGTGCCAAGAGAGCAGGTGGAGTTGGTGGTGGTGCAGACATTGCCAGAAGGAGCGCCCACACACTCTCCTGCCGCCGTGGTCTGTTAAAGACAAGCAGCATCCTGGTCAACTCGCCGTGAAGGAGTGGCCCAAGCCATGGGAAGACCAGTCTAAGGAGGCCGCCATTACCGAGCTCCAACACGTGGTGGACAGCGCGCGCAAGGTCGGAGGCCAAGACACGGTCACGCGCTGCGAACAGGACATCGCCGAGAAGCAGACGGTCACCAAACCACCGCTGCGAGCCAGCCAGGCTCAGAGGCGGGTCGCAGCCCTCGAGAGGACGCTCAACCACGAGACCAACATCCTCGAGGCCAAGTAGGTGGCAGTCCCAAAAGGCCCCCCAGTACGCCTCTCAGGAAGCACTAAGATACCAAAATCGCCGAATTCCTTTTCCTTGACCTCCTTCTTCTCCTCTTCCTCCACCGCACCCTCCTCCTTCTCCTCCTCCTCTCCATTTCTACCACATCGTCGCCTCGCCTGATCAAACAAGGCCCAACACAACGAATGGCGGAATGGGCGGCAGCCGCGGCGCCCACGGCCGGCAGCCACGATGGACAACCCCTGAGGCCTCCCAAGAAAACCCCCAAGACAGTCCAAGAGAACCCCGACTCGCCGAAAGACCGTTCCAAGACGCCCGAGATGGCATACAGACACCCCACGATGCCCCTAGGCCGCCCCGCAAAGCCTCCGAGAGAGCTCCCGAGACCCGGCGATAGCCCCTGATGAGGAAAATAAGGGGTCGTCGGATGTGGCGTAAGCCTATAGAACCTCTTCACAATGACGTAAACGTCGGACGGAGTGACGATTATCATCTTACCCTTGAAGCCATTGGCCCCGAGCTTGCACTCGGCAGTCCAGGAGGGATGGGCGCGCAACGTGTCCATGATGGGCTGATACATGCGGCTGATGGTCCTTTGGCGGTCTCGAACGTCAACCGGCAGATCCTGCCGCGCGCGTAACTGATGGAAGGCAACGTTGCGCGGGTCGATCCACTGGAGGGCAGGGGTCTTGGCCGCAGGAGTACTGAAACCAATATTGCAATTCTGCGCAACCGAGTGGAAGTTCGCTTCGGCATCTTTGAAGCAGGCGTGGATGGGCAACGACAATTAGCGGAAGTGTTGCTCACGGACGGCTCTGTGGTCTCGGAAACGTGCCTACGAAACGAGCAAGCGGGTCGATGCCAGCCGGACGCCCTCGACCATGATCGGCAGGCAGCGCGCGGAAAATACCACAGGAAGAGGAGGCAGTGGATAGGGGCCGTCGAAGCATTCAAGTCACTCTGCGCAACACGCTGGATCTGAACTGCGGGCTGCTCGATCTGGGTCTGGTGAACTTTCAGCATATCGGTCGTGCACTGGACACGCGTGTCAAGCTGGACGAGAGTGGCTTCATGAGAAGATATCTGCACATGCAACTGGGCTGTAGAGAGGTCGATAGAAGCCGCCATGTTGGTCTCAATCGATCACATCGTCGTGCGCAACTTCTGCATCACAGCTGGCGATCTTTCTCACCACAAACGCTGTAATCCCCTCCACTGGAAGCATGTTCGCGATGTTGCTCAAACTTGCGACTGTGACGGC